GAAGACTCTATTTGAAATGTGGTGCTGGAGAAGAAAATCGCAAGTCCCGTGGATGGCCAAAAGGACCAATAAGTCTGCTTTGGCGTGGCCGGAGTGCTTAGAGGCAAAGATCGTGAGACTTGGTCTGGCAGACTTTGGACATGTTGTCAGGAGAGACCAGTCCCTGGAGAAGGGGATCGTGTGTGGTAAAGTTGAGGGGCAGTGAAAAAGAGGAAGGCCTTTGACGAGGTGGATTGATCCAGTGACCACCAAAACGGCTCAAGCACGGGAACGGTTGTGAGGATGGCGCAGGACTGGGCAGGGCTTTGATCTGTTGTGCATCGTCTCGATGGGTCAGAACCAACTCCATGGCACCTATCGACGACACTCACAAGCAAGAGTCTTGGAAGCCCACAGAAGCAGTTTTATCTTTGGGGGTCACTATGGGAACGGGACCACCATGCTGTCAGTTTTGTTTGCTTTGGGAAGTCAGAAATGCCGCCCTGATTAGTCAATCGCCTATGACGTAAACTTCAACCACTTTCTATTCTTGCCTTATGGTGAATTTTGTTGAAACAGTGGCAAAGGACGCATCGAAAGAACGAGAGTGGGTAAGAGAATTTCTTCATCTGTATGAGCGAAGGGGGTCCTCTTTGGCCCCAAATCCTCTTTCTTGGGAGTCACATTTGAAGAGCTTGGAAAATGCTCCACCCCCAACCCCTTCTAAGAGTCAGCAAGGACTCCATGGCAGGGAGTTTGCCCTTTTAAAAGGGATGAGGAACATGGCTCGGGGGAGAACTCTCAGGACAGCACGACAGGAGCCACGAAGGAGCGCGGGAGTGGACACGGACTAAGGGGAGGCCGCAGGGACATCATTGTGACGCTTCCGGAAGAGCCTGGCACGGAACAGAGGGCGGGCCGCACAAGGCGTGACCACCAGCTAGCCAGCGAGGGATGGCGAAGGGGTCCCTCACTCCACCTCTCCCTCGCTCAGGCCCATTTCACAGAAGATTAGGACGCCGCCGAAGACCCCCCCGAGACGAAAACCCTCCTCCTTCCCAACCGCCTCAAGCCGACCACGCTCCACGCGGTGGCGCGCGCGCTCCGCCAGGCCCGACGGGCGCACG